GCAAAACATTTTTCGTTTCTGAATCAATTCTGCCCCCAAGTGTTTCGTTACTGTGGTAATACCTGACGCTATAAATATTTTTCAGAACACCTATTCTTTGGTTTCTAGGCAGACTTTAACACCGTTGAAATTTTCGTCCCGCGTAAATACGACAAGTGTTAGTCCTTCGATTAATTGGCGGCAACGTAGTTAAAATGTACATTTTTCCCTAAGAATATGACCTGAATATTAATTAGTGCTCTTGAAGATCGTCGTGATTAGAAGGTTAATGTGTCCCTATTCACTGTACAAGTATTTGCTAGTATATAGTGCTGCTTCCATTGCGAGTTACATAATCTCAGAATTTTGCTTGAAAAATGATAGTCTAGCCTGATTTTCGTGATGATGAGTAGTTATGACAGGAACAGATTAATAACGAGGATAATTGCCTTGTATCTTAATTTTTTGAATGATTCTGATCCGCTTAGGTTTTAGATTGGTACCCTGCTTCTAAAATTCTAGGAAATGTCATAGAAAGTAAGAAATACTAATTTTACGAATTTGCATCAACAGTATGTAGTTCTTTACATTAACTCCGGTTGTGCTTAGATCACGAACAGAAGAAAAGCTTTAACATCACTGTCGTCGAAGATTACGTGATAAGTGACTATTCTGTGGTTATGTTTTTAACATTCCTAGCGTTTTTTGTGCCGTATGGTGCTGTTGCTTTGTATGAACTAAAGAAACAATTCAGGTAAGTCAGGTTGCGGCTGATTCTTTTTCTTCTTAAGATTACAGCGCAGTTGCAGTGTAGACTTGCCGGTACCAGCGCTAGTGTCCGTAAACCAAGAAAACATTTCCCACAACAAATTGGAAAGTGAATTTCATGGAATCACATCTAACGAAGGTGAGGAGCATAAAGCTGACAAGCGAGATTCTTGCTAGTCCCTTTGACGTACTATATTTGTTTAAAGAATAAAATAAATGTTCTAATTATTGGTGATATCGGACCCTTGTGCACGTTCATTTTCGACATTCTTCTTTCTTGACTTGCTTGTGCCGTTAATACGCCCACTTTCGTTTTCTTCCCAGTGCATAGTGACGTATTGCCGAAAAATGAACCCGGTTGGAATTCGATTTATATTCAATTCCGTTTGACGGATCTTTGCTTTGGCAAATGAACTCCTAGGTCATATATGCTATCCAGAATATTCATGAACGCTTCATCATATTTTTTATGCAGTAGAATATCCGGGGATACAAAAATATTTTTCGTACATTTAGAAAGGATTTATGGTAGATTAGTAAGGAGTATGGTATGGTGGATTATGATCAAGAAGGTTCCTGAATTAAATGTTTGTCTCATGCAAGATGCGCACGACAGTTTCATAGATGTATTGAATGAAATTGAATGAAACGGAACAGTACTCCCGTTTCGTGGAGGTCTGTGAATAACTGAGCCCATTTATGGGGCACGATTGAAGTCATACAGAAATTACTTAATGTATAACCTCTGAGCATACGATACAATATACTGTAGCGGAAACAGTAGGCATGGAAGCGAAAGCGTGGAAAGTAGTTTTTGAAAAAAAGGCTTTTTTAACAAGAAAAAGTACATGACGGGTAATTTCAGCGAAGGGAACATAAAGACTATCAACAAGTCGATGAAAGTGACTGATAATTTTTATTTAGGATCTCATCCTCAAGGTTTCTTTGTTGTATACACGGTAGCATTTCCAAGGCTGCACTTCCTGTGACACTGCCTCATTGTTCCTGCACGCCTTGAGGCTATTTGAGACAGCCCTAGACTCATTCGTTATTTAGCATCTGCAACGCTTCGATTAACGCCGATCAGTTTTCATGGCTACCGAAATAACTTACTCTTCACCAGTATTGTTTAAACAGACGACGGTATTTTGTATGCATTATAAACTGCAGCTAAACGTTAACTAGAATCTTTCATATGGCACTTAAGGCATCCTGGAGCGGACCGTGGAATGAGTGATAATGCTTCTTCGTCTTCCATAACCGTTTCTCTATTCGGTTCGCGGAGGCAGACATGTAAGACAGTGCTTCCTACGAGTCTGAGCTTCGGCAGAAGCCTTCTGGAGTCTGAAGCATCCATATACTTACACTGGGTTAATCTTGGCCGTCCCTTTGGCCTTCTGCTGGTCAGCGGGACCAAAAATAGGCCCTCCGCCTTCCTTTCTGTAGGCATTCGCGGCACATACACAGACCATCGCAGCTGTGACTTCTTTATCTGAAGAAGCGGCGGCTGTAAACCAAGGCTCTCGTGGATGTCGGTATTCTGCACCACGTCGGGACACGTGACGCCAGCGGCTCGTCTCAGAATGCACATTTCAGTCGCTTGTAGTATCGAAGTTTTTCAGTCATGATCTACGACTCACGATCGTCGGTAAGCATCGGCATGAAGATCGATTTGAACGGCGAGAGTTTAGTTTCCAGGCTGAGCTCTGCATTAGTCACAATGTTTCGGGCTAGCTCACGCAGAACGCCACTGGCTATTCCAGTTCGCTGGTCGGTCTCTTCCTCCAATTTTCCATCAGTAGTAAATATGATTTCGAGATACTTGAAAAGCCTGCTCCACTGCCTCTTCATTAATCTGAAGAGAGCAGCGGACAGGGGAACCAGAAAGCCTAAGCTTTTCGTTTTAGGTACGTTCACACGCATGCCGGGTCACGTCTGATTCGGCTGCGAACCTTTCTAGGGAGCACTGTAGATCAGTTTCAGAAGATGCCAACAAAACAAGATCGTCTGAAAACAGCACCCTTCTCGTCGGGACATCCCATTGGTTGCGCCTGCCTATTTTTTCCATACACAGCAAACAGAAGAGAGGACACAACGCAGCCTTGGCGGAGATCAGTGTCTAAGATGAAAGGTTTTATTTTAACGTCATTTATCTGATACAGCACCTGCTCCCAGCCTGTAGTGATTGTTTGGTCCGGAGCAACTGTCTGTCGTTTCCATATGTTCGCATGCATGCCAGCTGACTGTTGCGCGGGATCCGGTCACAGGCTTTCTCTAAGTCCACGAAACACATGTACCCTGAATGGGTAAGCTCCCACGATTTCTCAACCATTTGGAGTAGGGCGAATCTTTGGTGAGATGCGCATGGGCGGGGCCGGAAGCCACACTGCTCTTCTTCTATCGTGGAGTTAGTAATTACACGGCACCTTTTCTCTAGTACCTTTGCGTAGACTTTATTCGGGAGACTCAGTAACGTTATGCCCCGATATTTGAAGCACTACTTGTGATCTCTCTTCTTGAACGGGGTTACTACAGATCCCGTTCTCTAGTCCTTTGATGTCTCCCCTTAGCTATTGCAGGCCAACCCGTTTGAAATCGGTTGGATCACAGTTATTGTTTTGACTACCTATTAAAAACAGCAACTGAAGTCGATTACAAACAGCAGGAACAATACCAATGATTCGTTGAAGAGGCCTGTGAAATATGGGAACAAGCATTAGTATTGGTTCATTTTCGTATTGATTAGCTCTTTTGCATTATGGGATATAGATTGTTTTTCTGTTTTTCTTTCGAATGCAGCAGAGTTTCACTTTTTAGCCAACGATTTATCAGCGGAAGTTCTTAATTCATTGAAAAGTATTCGGTAACTAGAAGATATACTGAAAGAGTTATGACGAATTTTTTATCCTAAACTCGTTTTTTTCAAAATATTTACTCTATGTTGTTAAGGTAGCTATTTCGGTTAATTATATTTCTTTTATACGACTCCATGTACTGAATCAGAAAGTAACTACCGATGGAGCACCGTCTTTTAGAGGTAGATGACTTTTCTTTTCTATCACATTTGATGGTTATTTGTTTGAACAGTGACGGACCTTTCAGGTATTTTGAATTCGGAAGGGTTTATGCTTATAAATGAAGGAACAAAGTTTAATTAAGAGAAGTTACTGCTCTCTGAGCGGCTGATATGATGTCAATATGAATGATTCTCTAGATATACAGTTTCGGCGTCCACGTTGCTATAACCCACAATGAGGAAAGTAAGGAACGTGAAGACCGTCGTAGTGTCGTGTAGTGTTTTATCTTTAATCGTGTATTCTACTATCCCTGAACTAACTAGCTGACGAGGCGGTGATGTTCTGATGTTGATCGACTTCATTTTATCTTTAAATGAAGGAACCTAGTATAGAAGAAGGATACTTTGCAAACATGGTTGATAGTAGAGTTGGGAGATGGCGTCCGTATTAGTATCAGGATAATGCGTTGTGACATTTTTATTATGCCACAATTCTCTAAACGAAAAATGAGGAGTTACGGGCTAGATATACGGAAGATCCAGCCAGTGCTCTACTGGCATCATGAGGTGTCGATCATGTTATTCGCTGAACTTGGATCACAACGATGGAAAACTTTCGATCGCAAAGTATGGCGCAGGATTGTACATATAGTAACGCTGCCGTAATTTTCTGAGTTGAGAATATAATTTGTTTCAGTTGCATCAGGATATAGATATGACGAAACAGGCATCATATGCAGTGTGCCGTACTGTGTAAATTATTAAAATGAGCACTGTTTAAATCATTTTAGTAGCCCTAGTTAGGTAGGCATATAACTTCGCAATTTTGTACTCTTAAATTAGGTCTTCGAGCAGCTGCGGGTGAATAATTTTGGGTTCATACATAGTTTTTCAGAATGCTATATTATTGAAATTGTGATAGAAAGCAGAAAATACGGTAATTTCTGACAGAACAGAAACTAACACACAACGAATTCATAAAGCTGCGATATGATAAATTTAAAACGTCCGTAATGATGAAGTACACGTGCTAGTCCTTGGAAGTCATTTCATTGTTTCGTCGTCAATACTTTATCTTT